CCTCTCAGGCATAACGCTGTCTGACGGAAGAATCAGTGAAGAAAATCTTGTTAAATAAGTTGATTTTCTTCCGAATTTCAAAAAAAACAACCATGACCGCCCAGCGATAGGTGTGGTGGTGCTCAGACCCTGACAGTAGGTGAACAGTGTGTCGATGATATTAAGGATATTCAAGTAACTGCCTATCAATTGATTCCCGATGCCTTTCACAAAGTGTGGAAATTATAATGATAACAGCCAGTTTTCTTGGTGAAGCTGGTTATAGATCAATAACATGTTGGCTGTCACATAGATTTAGCAGGCCCTTCTTGAAGATTTCAATGCCACAGCTTGTGAATATTCACCGTTGACTGCACCAAATCGATCGGCTACGATGGGCATTTGGGCTCCTGTGCGGATGCCTCGATATTACCGGTATTTTCAATTTTGATGGTTAGTGGCTAATAGTAGAATTCGGGACGTGCGCTTTATCTTATCCAAGACTTATCATCTGGATTTACACGCCTCCCAGTAGATGACTCGACTCCAGGTGGTGACAACATCACTCACTGGCAGACAGGTATATCCAGTTGACGACTCCTAAATAGGATGGATGTTTTTTAACTGGACTGGATTTTACTGCTAGCCCCTATCCACCAATAATGCCTTTTCAGGATTACTGCTATAAAGATAGCATTTTAGAGTGATAAGACACTCAGATTATCATAACCTCCAAAGTAACTTGGCTATCTGTCTAACTATGGTTTCACTCCCTCTAGAAACGTTAAAGTAAATTATCTGTACCAAGTGCACTGTGGTGCTTTAGTACTCACAGTTACTTTTAGATCTTTGCTTCGTTAGGTAAATTACCATTTCATAAGCTTTTGATTTTAAGTCCTATCCATAAAGTGATGGACCGACATCAGGTAATAGACCCTTGTGATGATCGTTCACCAAATTAGTTTCACGCACCATTTATTCCTTCCGGATTCCATATTCCGTGTAAACCATCGATCTATAGTTAGAGTTTCCCGAATCTCAGACGTGCATCTTCCGTACCGACTGACCGGGTATGAGCATCAGACATTTGCTTCCGTTTTTCATTTCTGTAGAAAAGCCACTATGGCACAAAGGAAATGAAAAGAACTTCCCTAATAGAGGCTATGAACAAGTTCCAATATGAAAACAAGTGAATAGGTTTAGAGGGCTCTTTTCACCCTGAAAAATACCATGTTATTTAAAGCACCACATTGTAGTTCATCTACCCAAGTTTGTAGATCATGAGTTTCATTCTGTCCAAGTTTATTGTAAACTTTGCTGAGATTAAAAGGGTTGCCAAAAAGGAGAGAAAAAGCATGCAGTTATCCCGAATTTCCAATAGTTACTCAGCTAGTTGATTAGTGGTAATACGTTGTTCAGTGGTTCAGGTACTCAACTTCCGAGCAATAAATGTCAGACTAAATTCTCACTCCACTTAATTTGACCTGACTGACTAGTTAAAATCACAAATACATGTTGAACCATGATTTACCCAAAAAGTCCGTTGCTAGTCAAAGCAGGGTGTGGTAGGATAAGACTGAGGTAACCAGACTAATGCGTGGTAGCAGTCTATAAAGTTTGACTGTCGGGCCTAACTGCGTAGGCAAATATAGACCGGCACCCTAGGATCGTCGAATTGACAGGACTCAGGGTTTAGCTATTCTTTTGGCAGCTCAAAACCGGTCATCAAGGTGTTTATGCTCGTTACCTTCATATTCTTTTGCAACTTTATATCATCCATTTCCGTTTCTTTTCTTTGCATACAGTCGAGAATTTCGACAACTTGAACTGATGTACTTTTATACTAGTTTCTACGTTGATTCACCCATCTATCATAAGTTCTCAAATATAAAAAATTGCCTCACTGCGTGGAATACAAAACTACAGTGTGTTACAGAATTGCAGTATGGTTTAGTCTGAGTGATGACATATTTTTCTGAATTAGTGGGCATCGAAACATCTAAGAACGTACGTCCAGATGACAAGTTAGAAATAGGATGACGTATGCGTCCTGGATACTTAAAAACACCATTTTCATGAAGTGAAATCCTCTTTCGACCAAAAATCAACCACCTGTTTTTGGTTATATGGTTCAGATTACTCATATAAATTTTGGTTTTTTTCCGTCTTAACAACTAGTTCAGTTGTCAGCACTCGCATTCAGTGCTCATTTTGTTGGGGAACGAAAATCCCCCACTTCTTTGCCTCTTATTTGTGTGTCTTACGTTTTCTCATTGATTTATAAAATATAGTACTGAATACTGTATTTTTCTCCATATTGGATTGTTTACCTCCACCACGTCAATACCTGCCTAATTATGCTTCTGGAAGGTAGTTAAAAAAGAGGAAATCCTATTGGTGTTCTGTTCACGTATACACTGAGTTGCCCAACCAGATATTTACACATATGTTCCTCTAATAAAGTCGATAGAAAGAAAAATAATATTTATTAACAAATTAAGCAAGTTTAAAATAAAAATAACAAACATTATAACAAGAGAAGAAAAGCAGCAAAAAATAGAACGGAAGCAAAATACCTTTTTTCTACCGTAAAAGAACATTATTTTAGTGTGCTTTGTTGGTCTGTGTTAAGTTGCACTATACTAGGGTGTGCCATCAACTCCTTTTTTTACCGGGTAACCAAAACGGAAAAACTGCATTCCTGTATAACTCATTGTGAATATGCGACTAGAATATAGTGTAATTAATTGAACAATGGTTTTTACTGCTTTATTTGTGTATTTTCTTTTCATGTATAGTTGTAAACAGACACGGCAGTAGACCTCATTGTTTTGACAAAGTTTTGTGCTTTCTATCTTAAGGGCTGAGTAATAGTTTATTATTAGCTGGGCGTTGCTCACTCCTTCCTGGATTATTATATGCTTATTTCATAGTGAATATAGAGACATAACCAAGTACTTGGTTGTACTGCCTTCTCTGTGAGACTTAGCAAATCTAGGTTGGTGTAGCACAGATAATCACATGTGTATCCTTTGAGCCAGTTTTAGTAATTGATGAGCCAATGGAAACTTTCAACAAAGTAACAAGACTCTCTTTTGGAAATGACCAGTCAGTTCCATGTGTCATTTACTATTTTTGCTCAATAGAAAAACTGCCATGCTTTATGAGATTAGGATAGTTGCTCCAGTGTCAGGGTTCTTCAGCACTGTTCACTTAAGATCCGAAGCCTGAGATTCCTTACTTTTTAGCTAGCAGCTTGTTCAGCAGCTCAAAATAAGATCTCAGTATTGCACAGTTTTCAGCTTTAGTTCATTCACATGACTATATGACATTCATTCGGTTTAATCAGTATGCATCCATCCAAACGTAAAACTGAATCGAGTTCACAAGTTTCACAGCTTCTAATTGGGACGTTGGAAAGTCTAACTAGAGATTAGTCAGTAATGATCGCTGCATTATTGTATAATTGAACTCTGTCGAAAATGATTGATTCCCGGTAGTTTTTATCTTCAGCTTATATCATCTGCCACTAGGCAGTCGATTATTGTGAGGACATTTGCGAACATTTATGAATGAGCCATACTATCCACACTTAAAAAAACATAGTTTAACTAGATTCAGGAGCTGACTAGGAGATCATGTTACTGTGTTACAGAATCTTTCATCGACAACGAAAACAGTCCTCAGGTTACAGTATACAGAGAAAATGCCTTTAAATGAATCACAAATGTTTTATTTCTGTCTAAAAGAAACATTCACAGATGCTTCACAGAGGTAAATAGAAACATTTAAGTAGACATGTTTCATTTCTGTGACGGTCTGCAGTCAACATGAAATTTCGGGTCCAAATCCCTTTCAGTTTAGAAGCTTTTCTAGTTATCTGGTTTCTCTTTATCCACCCAAAACTAATCCTCATTAATTTATGGGTTTTGTTAACTGAATAAACATTTCGAGTGGTATTCTATTCAATCTGCTATGTACTTAACTTATTAACCATGAAGGTTAACTCAATATGTGAGAAATTTCTTTTCTTTCTGAATGTCTCTCTTCGCTATATATTATTTCATTGAGAGTGTGAGAGTGTGTAAAGATGTAGTTAATTGACTTAAGGACTTGACATTCAAGCAGTCAGTTTCAAAATTCAATCCAGGTGTCACCGAAATTCCCCAAGCATTACGTGCAGCTCATAGCGTAGTTTACTAACCGCCGCCAAACTACTAAGTTTACTCCTGAGCGTTAACATGTCTGAAATTGCTCATACTTTACAGCCCTTTTCACTTTAGAGGACTATGACGGCAGATTTATATGCAGGCAGATAAAAGTTTCTGTTGGGTCTATTTTTCAAACTCCATGTGGATGAATAGGATTGGCAGAAAAAAGTGATGAGCTGTTTACTACTAAGTCACTTGTTAATATACTAATTAGTCAATGGATGTATGTGACTATGAGTTAGAATACGATCATTCAACTTTTGAGCATTTTGTCTGTAATCTTCGTCGAAATCACAAACACTCTAAAAGGTGTGCAATGTATGACGGGTAAAATAATAAACTCTACTGACTATGAAGTTATAAAATAGCACTATCATCACTTCGGAATGACTATGTGGCATACGATTACAGACTACAAGCCTACCAGGATTCTTCGGCGCCTATACAATTCATTGTTTTTTATTAACAAGACAGAATTAAATGTTGGCTTGAATGAGTGAAAAATTCACAAGTTACTCATGGATTCGTTGACATTTCTGATATGAAAATGGTTCTGTTTCCACATACTTGTGGTTTCAAGGGGTTTGGTTTGGAAACATCTGCAATGACGGCATAAAATATTCATCGTTATAAGTTGATATTTTCTCAAAAGTACTGCTGGCTGGAGCTCCTCAAAAAACACACAATTATCCTGCAGTATTCAGGCAACTTCGCTGTTGTTAGGTTAGACCTCAATAAAGTTTAAGTACTTATTAATTTCAATAGTATCTAAACGCTATTTTAATAATACCATTTTCTATTTATGAATAGGTAACTATGACTCGTACAGAAGACGCTCTGCTTGCAATTCGTGATCCCAATCCATGCATCGATGGTCGGAAAGCAAATGTGAACCTGGCAGTACTTGGAGCTAAACCTCGTCTTTTACCTGGAAGTAAGTCACATTTGTTTTCAGAAATCCTCATATTAGTATTTTAGTAGCAGATTATTGATACATAATTCAGTTATATTTGTATAAGTAATATTGATAATGACGATTAACAATTTCTAAAGCAGTTTTGTCAGTCTCGGTTGTCAAAAATTTGTACTCTCAATCTGTTTTTATTTAATTTTGTCATACATACACTTACGGTGATAGTTGTTTCTTCAATCAACTTTGTTTCTTGAAAGATAACATATTCCTGTTAAGTATAAACGATGACGCAATCTAGGTTTTTGAGCAGTTTGAGTGACAGTATAAGATTGAAGTGGTCATCAAATACAATCCGTGAAGTTCTTAATTGTTGGTTTCAGTCACTGATGACTGGATATTTTCATTCCTTTTTGTCACCGCCTTTAACTCTGAGTTTTGTTGTTTATTCCTGGTGTCCTTATTTCTCAATCCTTTCTCGTACTTCTTGATGACATTCCCTCTTCACATTGATATAAAGCTCAGCTACTTTGACCAATACATAGTGATGCTGTTATATAATGTTTTCATCTGTCATCCTATATTTCGGTGTGATTAGGGGTGTTTTTTGAGAGTTAGTTATAACACGTGACTGAAAACACTGGAAGAAATCAAGAGAGTGTGTGCACATTTGAATTGATGGGTGAAGGCCCTAGCACGTTTCACTACTTGGATATTCTTACTGTACGCTTTTTAGTGTGTTGTAAATTTTAGTTTTAACGATAGAACAAGTAGGTGATTAGAAACAGTTATTTGCTGCCTGTAAATTACCTTCTTTCAAAAGGAAGTTACTAGTTGGTATTTGTGCAGCTGAGTTTTCTACGAGCGTAACATAGGATTTGTGAGTGGACAATGTTTTTGAGAATAATTTTCCCGCACACAATAAAGTATACTGACCATAACGAATAGAATATTTACAAGGTAGTCTTCACGTTATGAAGTTATGTAACCATTGCTTCAACCACCAGAACTCTCTCAAATGCCTACCACTGTAAATCCGAAAACAGTGCTAGGGGAGTTGTTGCTCATTAGTTTAGGTAGTTGACTTTCAACCAATGAGTCACGGGTTAGAAATCCTCTCCACCTACAGAGATTCAGGCAGCCAAGTAGTACCACTGGCCCTCACAGAGTAGGTCTGAAGCATTACCCAAAAAAATGATGTACACGTGTTTTCTGAGAGTATTTCCATTCTATTCGAATCGATCACTACTTTGTGTTGAGATTGTTTAAGGATCACAAGTTAGACAGCTCACAATATTTATTGGAACAGAAGCATGAACTCACCGCTAGTCCACTATGGGAGATTAATTCAAGTCTATGCTTTGTGTACAATGTCGTACATATAACTGACGTCTTATTTTGCCTAGAACTCGACGTGTTTTACTTAGCCTATCCGATTGTCAATCATTGATTATTTATTCTTACGTATTTCACACTTTTTGCTATTATACATTCAAAAATGCTCTAATAGTTGTGTTGACAACAGTGGCATGATAAGTCCTGGTAATGTCATGCAAAAAGCAACTTGTTTATTTTTAATAGTTTCAAACAAATTTTGTCTATTTCTATCTATGTCACGACATTACGTGAGTCAACATGTGCAATCGTGCATGTTCACATGTGCAAAAGTCTGCATTTATACATGGTTTTCAACATTACCAATTACGATACTTGAGTACAAAATGTCGGAATAAAATGTAGAGAAAGGTAAAAAGGGTGGCGAAGATTTTAACAATTTTGATGTATTATTAATGATTAAATAGTCAATCTTTCGTAATGATACATATTTTGCACATATTTTAATTAAGAGAAACGTGTTTTAATTCACGTTCACTTTTGTTTTCTTGTTTGTCGTTAGCTTCTAAGTAATTGTGAGAATTTCAAAGTGGTTTTCAGCATGAATTCACATTATCAGAAAGACCATCGAAAACTTAGGAGCAGTACGCAGCTACTTCTTCCAAGTTAGATATTCCTCAAAAGCGTGCATCCACAACCATGTGAGGTATCGAGTCCAAGATTGTCAAGTCTTGCATAGAGTACTTTATTATTTAATCAGTGAGTTGTAACTTAAGAGTCCACAGTATCTTCCTTTGGTTAATCTGCTACACAGCGTGACCATATCAGTTGATAGGTTTGTTATTGGGTGTCTCACCACCAGGATAGTCTACTTCACGTATAAGTAAAGCATTTCCAAACTGAATGAAATTTTATGGGGTATATACACCGGGGCTGAGCGTTATCGGCTTGCAAGTAGCAACGAATTTGCCTCCTTTTTATCATAAATTAAACTTTATAATTGTTTTCATCATTTAACCCAGGCGGTTAACTTAATGTCTGATTACTGGTTCGTCCGATCGGTTTCTAGTTGGTTGGTCTCTTTTTTGTGGTCCGTATGTTGGGTCTGTTGATTGTCATTTGATTGCAGTACTTTCCTTATTATCGGTCGCAAACTGTTTCGTAGAAGCGTCAGCTATATAGTCTTATTTATATATTATGTCATTCTGAGATTATGCACGTGTTAATATGATGTAAGAAGAGATAACTAATCCAACTAACACAGAAGCTTCACTTCACTGAGTTACTACGTATTACACATCATTATTTCTTCCCTTCACTTTCCTGAGCTGCCTGACTATGGTATATGAGTTGTAAGTTTACCTCCATACGATCTTCACTTTCATCTAGATAGTTGTTTAGTGATCACAATCACCATGGTTTCCAAATGCTTTCTCGTATTATTTCCGATCTAGAAGATAGATGTATCTACACTTTAATGTTAGTGTTTCCTATGATACAAACTCGTAATTTATCTTTTCGTAAGCCACAAAGCTATCCACTGGCTTAGCAAGTCTTAAGACTTTACCCTTGCGTAAAGAATACTAGATAGTATTTAGATTTCATCATTTCTTGGACCGGGTTTGTTGGTCTCCATTGGCATACTTGCAGAAGCGATTATAAGGTTTGCACGATAACCAATAACCACTGGAAAAGCAGTAGCTCTCATAATTCATTAAACGAGTGATTAACAGCAACTTCTGAAGCCTGAACTGATTGGCTCAAGCCTCAGCGGAAGTAATAATGTCATTTAGATACAGGTGCATTCAACTGATGATTCCCGAGTAAAGGAAACATGCATCTGGCATTCCGCACCTATATAAATTGAATGTTGCCTTCTAACTTCATACCTCACTGTGAAACAAGCTGTTTGCATCCTGAAACAGGACCAAACACTGAAAGTGTAGCTGCGCACAGTAACTATTGCCGTGGCTGGGTTTATCATTGAGTTAAGGCTTTTTTGTTTATCCATTTATATATCCCTGTCTTGTTCTGCTTCATTTTCTGCAGTTCCTTCTTTGATTGACTCTGTTCTGTCAGGTTAAGAATTGTTGCGGTTTGAATCTATGCACTAATTTTATCATTGTCCACATTATTTGAGGTAGATATTCAGTCATCTCATGCTGCCTGCTCAGTGGTTCACTTCTACTTAGAGGTCAGATTCCATTTAATTAGTGACAGAAAGTGATTACATCACGATGTACACTGCATAAGGTTCCCAAACTGGTACAAGCCTTGTGTACGTATCAGGATGCGAAGAGGGATTATGTCTAATGGCTATCCACAGTAGACTACATTTTGTTTCTAAATAAATACCTCAAGTTATTCATACAATTTGTAAAATTTCGCTTGGGTTATCAGACCATCAGATATATGTACTGAAGTGTTAATGAAAGCTTGGCTGACTAGTAGGTCATAATGATGTACACGCAATCAGAAATGTCAAGAAATTCGGTTGCTGGCTGGATCTCTGTTTTTTATATATTTCAATCGTTTTTGATCTCAATGCATCAGGTTGTACTCAGGAATGTATTTTTTGAAAAGTCCAGACATAATCTGACTTTAGAAATCTGATTATGTGGATTAAATTTATCCCGAATAATCCAATTCATTAACTTTTATTTTTTCAGTTTGGGGGTTTGTGGGTATTTATTTGTTGATTTCATGTTGGTATTCATCGCAGACTGAAAGAAACACGAAATAGCCGGCAGCAATGGATATCTGTTTCGTCTCATTATGGGCCTCCTCATCATTGGGCATCTGTAACCCCGCCAGGGGTCGAAGCCAGGTCCTTTAGGTCCCGCGGTCACCGCGTTACCACTGAGCCAATGGGTCGAAATCTAATGGTCTATATTCCCTTCTCTTGTTACTTCACGATACAGCTGAACCTCCATCCAACGCCGTCATTGATTTACTGTCCCGATGTCCGACTTAGTTGACCCCACCGGTCACGACTTCTTATCGGAACTTCGGGAATCACCTCTCAAAGCCAGTCACCGATGAGCACCAGAATTATTCATTTCGTAGATTTATGGGGATTTATTGATTTCAGTTTAACATTCATTATGGACGTTTTCAGTGTGGTTTCATAGCTATCTGACAAGTGTTTTGCATGTTCATTGTTAATAGATACACAACAGAATGACTTGAATAAAGCTAAAATACAAGTAATAATCGATTCGTGATGCTCAGCCACTTGACCTGTGACTCAGTTGTACGAGTACTAATGGTACTGATCCCATTGTAATTCATATCCAACCACTTTCTTACCCACCTAAATCAATATAAATTTCACAGTGTTTTTATCACTGACTGATATCCGCTGGGAAAGTACTGCAAACATTTAAGCTCTGGTTAGCTGTTTCATCCTAATTGCCCAACATTAACAATCTGCTATTCTATGAAGAATGGAACTCAGAACAGTGAGGTCTTGTGATAAGCATGTTAGTTTACAGTCACTGGGTTTGAGCTCAGTAGTACAGATTCTGAACTTTTATCACAATGTAATATAGCACATCCTTCCTTCAGTTTTATTAATGATCGTCATCTTACACTGGACTAGGTTGACTCCACACGTTTTCCATTGAGATTTCATTAAATTTATCTCGTCGTGACTCACTAATGAATACAGCATCTTCATGTAACTGATC